TATATATATATATATACATGTCTACAACCTGGTGGGCCCTGTTCGCCAATCGTTTTAGGCCTGCAAGGTCCGAAAAATTTAGGCCTGCAAGGTCCGAAAAAAAGTCGATCCTCAACCCTGAACCCGGATCTCTGAATCGAAGTCCCTTCGTGTGCGTACGAGGTCGGAGGAGCCCAGAAATCTCAGGGAGGAGATCCGAACTCAGAAGCTTCGGGCTTCGCGTTTGTTTTTTAGGCCTTGGGGCTTCGGAATTTAGGTCTAGGGTGCTTGAGGAATATTACATGAGCAAGCACCTCGGATCATGAGAAGCTTGCGAAGGCGAAGGGGCATCGTGCTTGAAGAACTGAGCGCTGCATGAATCCTCGTACTCCAAATCAGCGACATTTCTGGAACTATGATGCACTTCAACTTCTGGGGTGGGGCCGTCGTCGAGAAAACAACCTCCAACCCTCAGCCCTTCCTAAACCCCCGAGACGCAATTCCCACACACTGCTGGGCGAGCAGCGCAGAGAGCAAACTCCAGGATGCGATCCCCCATCTGCTCCGCAAGCTTTTTTGCCTCACCAGGGCTGCTCTAAGAACAAGAATGCAAAGCTTGCCGGTTTTCGGTTCTTGGCTTTCGGCTGGATAAGTCAGAGAGCTTTGAGGGTGTTCTTGAAGTTCTGAGATTCAAGGTGTGTCAAACCGAAGGGACACTGACACTACCAGTAGTTGTGGCCTCCTTGCAGGACAGTCTCCTGAAGCTTGCGGACTGCTGCTGCAAGGCGGAGGACTCAGGGATCAATCTAGGTATTGAAGCATTAGAGACAGAGGGCTACCACACCCAACACCTGAGTTTATGCCCGCGGCCCCGATGGGTGGAAGGGATTTCAGGAGCATCCTGCCAGCACTCCCTTAAACGAGGCTCCAACAGTAGAGAAGCCTCAAGTTCAGACCTTAAGCCGCCGAAATCCGGAAATGCAGGACGTGCGCAGATTCTGCGAACGAAGGGCGTGTGAGACATGTTTCTTGTTTATCGCGTTTCTTGGATTTGCCTCTGCTGCTACCTTTTGAAGACTTCCAGGTCCCTGAGCTGTCTATAAGTTCACTATTTAGGGTCCGATGCTGTCAGGCTTTGCGATTCAGGATTCCGCGTTTCAAAAGAAGCAGGTGGTGAAGACATGCTTTATGTTGAGGATGCTGAGGGTGTATCTGCATGAACCGTACACACACGTGCGTGTGTGTGTGTGTTCATATTCACACATACATATATATATATATATATAATAAAATGTATGTACGTGGATAGATATAGGTATAGGTGTAGGATAGGTGCAGGTCTAGGTACAGGCATCGATATAGAGAAAATATGGACATAGATACAGAAATAGATATAGTTACGGATATAGAAATGGATACCGGTATGGACAAAGATGTAGAGATGGATACAGATATCGACATGGATATACATATAGTGATATGGATACCGATATGGATATAGAGATAGATACAGTATGTACACATACATCTACTAGCTATACGCACACTTATATAATGTCTATCAGTTTAAGTCTAAATGTGGCATTTAGCGTAATTCGTTGTTTGCATCCATACATGCATCCATGCATGCATAATCAACATGCATGCATACATACACACATGCATACATGTATACAGTACAGTCCATACATGTGTACATGTATCGGCATACATGCATACATGAATGAATGCATGCAGGCAGGCAGGCATGCGTGCATGCGTACGTACGCACGCACATACATGTATCAGTGTAGAGGCTTTGTTGGTCATGTGGTTTTCGGGATTGGGGCACTCCACCTAAACCCGAAGCACAAACACAAGTGTTCCGTGTAAGATTAACAGCATACCATAACCATATGTCACTATGCGAACAGCATGGAAAATTGCACAAAGTTCGCAAGTTTGAAGGATGTTTGCTTAAGCTTCCACGTACTGTTCGAGATGCACTCTTGTAAACTGAGCAAGGGCACAAACCACGGCTTCGCATGAACGGAAAGATGCCTCGTTCGCTTTGAAGACGGCATCGTCGCTATTCTGCCGAGCCTGAAATAGGCTCAAAGGGACTTGAGCTTCAGCATTGTAAGGGTTGGGATCTTGGGCTCTGGTCTATTCGATTTTCCTTCGACTCATCTGGAATCGTTCGGCGGTTGATAAACGATCGACTTCACTGCCTTCTACGGTTCAACCCCAGAGCCTTGAAACCTACAGCTGGAGCTTCGGATGCACCCTAGGAACGATTGATCTTGAGGTGCACACATATGTGCATACATACTAACATACGTACCTATATTCATTCATGCATGCATTTCATTGCATTCATTTCATTCATTTCATTTCATCCATTTTATTCCGTTCATTTCATTCATTTATTTTCATTCATTCCATTTCATTCATTTCATTCATTTCATTTCATTTCATTCCAGTCCATTCCATTCCATTTCATCTCCTTTCATTCCATTCGTTTTATTCATTTCATTCATTGCATTCATTTCATTCAGTTCATTCATTGCATTTCATTGATTTCATTTCATTTCATTTCATTCAGTTCATTCATTGCATTTCATTGATTTCATTTCATTTCATTTCATTTCATTTCATTTCATTTCATTTCATTTCATTTCATTTCATTTCATTTCATTTCATTCATTTCATTTCATTTCACTTCGTTTCAATTCATTCGTTTTATTTCATACATGTCATTTCATTTCATTTCATTGATTTCGTTTCAACTCATTCGTTTTATTTCATTCATTTCATTTCATTTCATTCATGTCATTTCATTTCATTCATTTCATTTCATTCATTTCATTTCATTCATTTCATTCATTGCATTCATTTCATTTCATTTCATTCCAGTCCATTCCATTCCATTTCATCTCCTTTCATTCCATTCGTTTTATTCATTTCATTCATTGCATTCATTTCATTCAGTTCATTCATTGCATTTCATTTCATTTCATTTCATTCATTTCATTTCATGTCATCCATTTCATGTCATCCATTTAGGTAAAATACTGAAATAGCCACAAAAAGTGCAAAGGTGCGCGAACAGAACAACCTATCCGTAATGGAACCTACCGTGATCGTCGTCTGCATGATTAAGACGAGACATCAACACATGTTGTCTAGTTCACGTGTTGCACTCACTGCATCTACCGACTTGCCACCTCGTTTAGAACCCATCCCTGCCACAGTCGTGAATCATCGGCGAGACACATGGTTTTCGCCAAGCTTCAGGACAAATGAGCGATTAAACAAAGGGTCTAGAAGCCCGGGACTTTTTTTATCACTGCTAACTCTGCAGGCTCCACAACCCTCTCAAAATGCCACCCAGACCTGGTAAGCTTTCCTTGGCTGATACAATACCGGCTCGAGGCCAACACCCTGAATCCCAAACCCAGGCCTTGTCTGCCAGTGCCGCAGCGTAAATCGCAAAGGCTTGGCCCTGCACCGAGAGTCGAGCGAATGCTGCGGGCCGCTGCTTCAGGAACCTTCCTACTCGGTCACCGGGTTTCTGCAGGTGATGACGGGAAGCCTAGCGGCCCAGCATACGAAGTCTCTTTCATTTTTGCTGCAAACACCCTTTGCCGGCCTCTCGGCGCTCGGTGTCTTTGTGAGTCTGAGGTCTGAGGCTAAGGTGCTTTGTGAGTTTGTTTATGTTTGCAGAAACCTCCCCCTTGTGAAGGCCAGAGCTGACCTCAGTAGTACATAGCAAACAAATTATGTGCCATATACTATATGTGGTAGCATATGGACCAACCATGGACATCTGCACAGGTACCGTGTAGAAGTGACAAGTCAGAATCGTTGAATTCTTCCGGAACACATCCAAACATGACTCATGACTGAGAAAACCATACAGGACCTGTCCTACCACTTCTATGAGCCTAAAGTCTTAAAGCCTCGGACGCCAGGCCCGACAGTTGGAATCTCTGGCACCAGACCTCGCTTTAGACTGAGACACTGATGCTTGGGATGCAAAACACCCGCAGTATTGAAGTGCAGGGTTTAGAAATCTCACATGTCCGAACACGAGCCTGTGCCGACACAGCAAAGACAACACTGCGGAACACAAAGCACCGCAGTCCAAACACAGAGTGCAAAGGTCTGAAAAAAAATGAGTCCTGCACCACCCTCCAAACCCCAAACAACGGGAGGGGCGAAGCGCAAGATTAAGGGCTGAAACACGTACTCGCTCAAGTTCCTTAGAATTGAGGACACATCGATCTGATTCCTCAAACCTTCAAGTCCTTCAATGGCTCAACCTGCAAGAGCCCTCGCTTTAGAGCCTTCAGGTGGCCAAGCTCGCGGAAGAGCTTCAGCGCCTCTGGGAAACTTGTCTAGCAATGCTAAAAACTTGAACTGCGCCATCAGGTTTGAACGTCGAGCCCTTGAATCCAATTTTAAGGACTGGACTTTGCATGTTTTTGGAAAGAGCTGCAACGATGAGGACTACAAGTACAACGACTGCTGTTTCTAGCGTTAGCTGTCAGTACTCTTACTGTTCGCGCTGCTGCTGCTGCTGCTGCTG